ATCTCGCAAAAAAAGTTTTATAATCCTTAGTGACGAAGTATTTTCCAAATTGAATTTCTTGTAGATTCCTATAATTACGAATTTAATTTTTCGGTACTTTATTTAAAAACGTATAAATATAATGCAGTACATTAAAAAATATTGTCAGTTAATTATAATAAATAAATAAATTAAATTTATATTCGAATAAAACAAAAGAACTGAATTTATTATATACGAATGAAACGAAAGAACTGGATTTATTATATCCAGATAAAACGAAGGAACTGGATTTATTATATCCAGATGAAATGAAGGAACCAGATTTATTATATCCGGATAAAATGTAAATTCGAATTAGAAGAAACTGGATTTATATTTGAATACCAAATATCAGTTCTAAACTCTAAAACAAGTTCTAATAAAAAGGGAATTATGACAAATGGGGGATTGAAATTGAAAGAAACACAAAAAATAATGAATTAGCAACCAGATTTTTTAGCACAAAAGAGTTGACTAGAAAAGATTATTGTTACAGTTGGACATTAAATTATATTCTATCTTAAATTTCATTATGAACTCAATTATATTGAGAATTTTTAGGATGCAGTAAAGAAATTTAGTCAGTCAAATTATGATTACTTGTGGACAGGATTGCAAAGAACTATTCCATTAACTCTTACTTCTGTTTCACTTACAACTATTCATCAGTATGCAATAAAAGCATTTTATTATATGGATATATACTGGAAAGGCTTAACAGGTTAGACTGCAGAATTTGCAGTTAAAAAATATCATTCACATCACTGTATTCCTAATTCAGTTTTACAAACAATTAATATTTAGACAAATTAGATACACTGATTTATTTACACTAGCTATTGATAAAAATAAAAGTAAAAATTAGTAAATATGTATGAATATATATATATTAATAATAGCAATTAAATAAAATACTTATCTTTAGCAGCTTTAAAAAACTTTCGTTTATTTAAGCATAAACTGAAAACCTAAAATCTGCTTAAACCATTTTGACTTTCAGTATTACAAAATGAAAATTAGCTAATCAATAGCGAGAATATTTATTACATGATAATATGTAAGCGTGACCAAAAATATCAGTTTAATAGTAAAATTATCTCAATTTTGAATTGCTACTACTCTACCAAAATTGTTTTACAGCAAATTTGAAACTATAGTTGTATTCTTCTTAAATAGTTCTATCATTCTATAATAAGATTTGGTATTTATTATTTTTTTTGATAAGGAGTAGCAATTTGAATTTTATTAAATTTATTAGTTGTGACTAAGTTGTATGCACTGTATTATCTGAAATATTTTTGATAAATTGTTAGAAAAATTTTTATTATTTGAATTATCATTTGAAAGTGATTCTGAATTGCTCATTTTAAGAATATTTAACAATAAGATTTATAAAAAAAAATGGAAAAAGAAAGAATAAAAATAGAAAGAAAAAAGCATGAGTACAATTAATTAAACAATAAATTTATTTAAAAGTCTAATAAATGATTATACATATGATCATATAAACTGTATATTAAAAAACTATATATAGGATGTATATTACATACCTATGTAAAATTCATATTTAATAATTTACTTTATATGCATAAAAAAAATATGCATGAGTATATTTATGCAGAATGCACAAAATACAAATTTCCATATTTAAAATATAATTTAATAATTATAATAAAAATATATTATAAATATTTTAATTAGTTGTAATTTTAAATCTTTAATACTAATAAATAACAAATGAGTCTTTAAATATTTAAATAGAATTTTAATTTTTTTTTAATAATTATTTTTAAATAAAATTTATAACTTACAAAGAATTATTAATAACATAGTTAAAACTTAATTTAATAATTTGTTAATTTTAAATATTTTTTATTTAGACTAACAATAATTCATTATTTTGATTATTTTAAAATAAATTAGAAAAATAAAATTTATTATAAATAATAGTTTGCTATAATAAATGAATTTAAAATAATTAATATTATATTAAAATCTTTAAAAAAATGTTTTAATTTTATTATAAATTTAATTAATAATTTTTATTAAAAAGATGATTTAAAATAAATAGAACATATTTTTAATAAATTATATAAAATTTTTTGTAATAATTATATATAATTAATAAATTACTCTATTTGTTGTTATTTATATTTATTATTATTATATTTTGATTACTTGTATTTTAAAGATTTATATCTTTTCATAGAAAATTATTTTGATAATAATGTTCCTTATATTCATTACAATAGCTTTAATTTTTTTTTATTAGTTTAAAGATAAATAAATTTAATATTCATTTTTTATGCAATGATGACGAAAGCAAATCTTATTTGAAATAAAAATTGCTTTAATGAAATTATAATATTTGTGTCAAGGAAAATTCTAACTTCCGAGACGCATGATTTAATCAAATGAATACAGGTATTGATGGAAATAATGGTATTAAATCTAATGAATTAACATAAATGAAAATCAAAAAAGAATAATAACCAAGATGATAAAGGAACTACTCTCATTGCAAACGTGGAGATTGTCAATTCATCTGATCATCCTAATAATAAAAATTTATAGTTTTAATTTGTATTCAATTACAGTTCATGTTAAAATGTTCATACAAAACTTTACCTGGTTGAAGAGAAAATATTGAACGAGAGGAGTATTTATTCTCATCATCCCATCGTATTATGCTAATAGTATTTTTTTAAATCAGAACCATGGTAAGATCATATATATGGGCATGAACCATGCGAGTGGACAGGACCTAAGTTTTCTAGCTCATCAGAATTGAAAAGCCCGAGTTAATTTTCTCTGCAACAAACTTCTATCATTACATGTCATATATTTTCCCATCAATGTCACTATTAACTAAACCTATGTGATGACTTGTCATTAAATTAGAAATAAATGTTAAAAACAGTGGACAAGATAAAAAGATATACCTTGTTATATAAAGATGAGCATCAAGCACTTATCGTACTCCGTCTCATTTCATCAGTTGGTACGCAATGGTGACTTGCGTTTTTCTTATCATCTAGCTTCAGCTTTCATTTGCAAACAGTATGGTGAGCTTTCGGAAGCTTTAAACACGTACTTCAGTGAGTGAAAATGCAACCGTTTTAATTTAACAAAGGGAGGTGGGTTTAGAAACTTTTATTACTATAATTTGAAAATCCCGTATTTCCTTTCATACGATAGTATGTATGTGTGATAATTCCTTTTGATTTCCTCATACAAGGGCGGATCGCATCGATCAAGTAAATAATGCTTCGATGTTACTATCGTCTGAAATAAGTTGTATGAAAAATTGTGTCAGAAATATCGTTCCATGATTCCATTTTGTCCGACCAATATTCATCGAAAAAAAATAATATCCAGTGTCGTACAATTTCTCTATCCCAAGCATTTTGAAGCTTTCTCAAACTGTCTAATATTATGTCCAAACAATGTTCCAAGACTGCCTATAACAATGTGTTCGTTTAGGTATGGATACTTACTTCGACTGTGACTGTGTAATTTATTCCAATATCATTCTAAATGAAACATTTATTATCCGTTTTGATGGTCTCCAACGCCTGGGATATCACTCTACTCTACAGTCACGAAGTTGTTACCTCCATTCTCATTGAGGTTTCTGTTTTGTCTTTCTTAATACACAACTTCCGATATAAGTCCTTGTCCATATCGTCTTTTAAACTCTGACTTTTATTTGAAATATTTAATGTTCCCATTTCCAAATGTTTGATCTAATCTACAAATAATTAGCCAATCATCTATGCAATAAATTCAATAATTATTCGTCTAAATCTAGCACTACCAAACCTGCTTATTCAACAATTCAACTACAACTGTTCTAAAGATTCGTCACTTTCCACCTCTTACGGGACAGAGGTAACAGTAGACGATGGAATTCCTGAAGTTTTTTTTCCCAGCCAGCTTTTTCAACTATAACTTAATATTTCTAGATTTCTTTCGAGAATTTCTTTAAAGCTGGCATGTGTTTAAAGAACACCTTGCTAAGATCGTGGTCAAGGTATATCTAGTATTGCCTTAGTCTAATAATTGCCTAAGGAAGACAACAGGACTTGATCCTGAAGCTTATATAACAGTAAGTCTTTGTTTGTTACTTGAAATTTATACCTTTCATTAATTTAATTTATTTACTACTTACGTTATAGTAAACTACTAAAGGGACCGGTGATGTTTTCTTTATATTTCAACATCATCAACATCTAATGGGCCCATGTTGCAGTACTATGTTGGCAGAAGATTTTATCGATTTGGCTGATTTGACATCCTAATGGTGGCATCAGATTCGTTGTACGTGAGTATGATTATGATAATTAATTTTATAGTTAGTTATAAACCAATCAACTTAACAATTTATTTTGTTATTTCAGAGCGGTCCAAGTTGGCAAGAGAAAACACCTATTTAATCCATCATCCAGAAAAGCGAGTGGGTGTACAATATATTTGTCACATCGTCGGTAAATCTATATTTTTTTATTGATATATTTCTTTATCAGATCTTATAGCATTTACGAATCTTTGTACTTTAGGTGTTCAAGTGGAGGATTATTCAATTCGAGGTTATCTGCTAATTCGATCTATCAGATAGAAAGGCTTGCGCACGTGCTATGAAAAAAATTTATTTCCTTGCATAGACGACGTTTCACAAGCACTCAAAGATTCTTTTGATGGCGATGAATAATCTTTTTTTTTTTTTAAAAAAAAAAAAAAAAATAATTTGTTCTTGTAATCGAATCAGTAATTGGAATTTCAAAGAATATAGAGTTTATTTCTCCAAATGGAATTTATTTGTTTTTGTAATTGAGCTATTAATAATACTTGCATTATAGTCAATTTTAATTATAGATAATGGAACATTCCTGAAACAATTGGTCCTTATTCATTACCAGCGTTTCAGAACTTTATTTGTCTTTTTTTTCAAAATATTACGATTTCAAAATTTTGGTTAGACCGATTTGGTAATAGAATAAAATATTAACGTAGAATGACGAATCGTTGCTTATTTATAAGATCAATGTTACACCTATAGATCCCTTATAAAAATATATTTTTTTAATTAACCAAAGTCAAAAGCAGGAACCAATATATTTTATTGCGGGATTTGTAAATCCATAAAATTTAATTATTGGAATTATTGGGTTAAAAATAAAAAACAAAATAAATAACATTAGATGCGGTTTAGGAAAGTGCATCATAAAAAGAATCAGTTTATTTAGTTTATTTGTCATTGGGTACATCTAGTGCGTTTTTGAGGGGCTAATTTCAACCTGCAAAATTATCCCCCTTTAATTTTAATATTGTCAATGTCTTTTTTTTTTTTTTTTTTCCTAAAGGTTCCTTCCTATAGGAAATTTCCAATTCTAAGGATACGTTAAAAGTAACTCTTTGATTTTGTGATCATATTTATTACACGTGTTATTGCTGCAGAAATTCATTTGAAAAGCAGCGGGGAATTGGTCTAAATGTTGTTTAATTGCCGTGCTGGTTTGGTTCAACAGGTAATTTACACCATCCGATTCTATTCCACCATGAGTCGCAACAGTTTTAATATTTGACATGATCCTATCGTAAAAATCGCCATTAGAACAATGGGATTGAACATTGCTAACAATGGCTTTAATGCTTCTACTTCGATTATCCTCAAAAAAATGACAAACGGAAGGAGGGTTACCACAAATGTAATCCATTTTTTTGCAATCGTCAAAGGTCCAAGCAATACCAGGTGGAGGTTGTGTCACCCTCTTTGGATTATTGCAATCCCCTTTAAACTTTGGTTCGGTTTCAAATATGGCATCATGAATTTTTCTTGGCGATTCCGAGATTACGGTTTGCAATAATGTCTTATTCACCAATTCACTTGTTGACGTATAAATCGATTTTAGAACGTTAGATGCCAAGGAAGGATCCGTCGTGATTTTACTGAGTGACGTGTTATCGTTATAATAAAGATTTTTCGTTATTTTTTGTGAAAGGTCGGTGAACATTGGTTGTAATTCTAAAGCATATGAATCAACAAATGCTTGAGCCACACCAATACGACAATCTTTTTCGCAAGCGAACGTTGAATCTATTATGAAAGGAATGAAAGTTACTATCAAAGCAACGATAAATCTAATATTATATCTCATTTTTTTTCTTTGAAAAAAGGATTATGGTGAATTTAGGGACGATGATTGAAAAGGAATTTAAGTAGGTATTTATATATGATATAACCTTGCTAAATCATTTTTGATCAAGACGATGTGAGCCGCCGTTATTTTTAGACATCCATTATTTTGTCGGTTATACGTTTAAGCTTAATGAAAATGTTCTAATTGTTAGGAAAATAAACAATCCTTTAAAGTTTTTATCCGGGCGTTGTTCATAATTAACCCGAGAAAAGTTTTGTAAAGAAAAACACAATTAAATGCCAAGACTTTAAGTAATTTGTTAAAAATAACATGACGAGTATATCGATCGAGAGGTGGTATACCATTTTATTACGTGCAGACAAAGATCCCAAGTTTAGTTGTTAAATCGCCTTTTTCATAAATATGGAGTAACTATCACCCCTTATTTGGTTTTAGGAAGCCTTTCTTTCAATTCCTCAAATCTTAATTTGGTAAGACGAAAAAGCTTGGCATCTTTTGTAAACAAATGATCGCGCGCAATTGTGTAAGGTAAGAGGGGTAAGAGAGGTAAAGAGCAAGGTTCATCCAACCTTTAAAACTTTTCGTGGGTTCTTTAAATTGTAAAGCTTAACGCATTCACAGAAAAGGATGCGAATTATTAAAGAAAGTACGGTCTAATTTGGATGAATAACGTATGATAACGTCAAGCCCAATCCGAGTCCATTTTTCATTTATAACTAAAATCAGCATTATAACATGACCGGGAATGGGAAATTGGTGAATTTCCTACCGCATTTAGTAATTACCATTTCGGTAACAAAGGGAATTCTTCCGGTTGGTCACATGATCAACCGAATAAAGTGGGATATTTTTTTTTTTTATATATATAAGGTCGTAAACTCTTAAATAAAAAATTGAGGAATTTAAAAATGTATTCTTTCATTCTTTCATTTTATCATTCTTTTTTTATTATTTTATTTTTCTTTAAAAAAAACTATCAAACATTCGTAAAAAAAATATATATATAAATGCTGTCTCGAACTCTTGACTTGGGGATAAAAATAACGAGCAATGATATAGGTACATCAGTTTTTCTAAGTTATGAACCAATCAAACTTACCAATTTATTTTTTAAAGAGATTCGATTTCAAAAAAACAAATTTATAATTTATGCTGCGGTTATTTGACGTAGCATGCGTACAAGATTTTTTTCCACCATTCATCATTCAAAAAGTATTAAGATAAGATTCCAATTTACATGCCAGTTTCACAATATTTTGGGATACAGGAACCACTAATTCGCTTTATGGTTTTTTTTTTTTTTTTTGTGCTCTCGATTAAATTGACGCATCGTTACTTGTAACCACTACATTCAATCATAAAAAAAGATAAGCACCGAAAAAATTTGATTCTTTGAGAGTACTTCAAAGAATAGAGATTTTATTCACATGATTTAAAAGCTAAAAATAAAAAAATAAAATTATATAAAAATAAAAGGTTTAAAAAAAAAAAAATCCATTGAGGTAGGGTCATTATGTAATTATTTTCAACAAAGCTATTTTTCATTCAAAATAATTTATGTAACACCGGGCGCGTGCATACAATCATATAATCGATCGTTTTTTTCTCTCTTTCTTTTTTTGTGGATAATTTTGTTTTTTTTTCATGTGGTCAGAATTTTTCTTTTTGACAATTGAGATACCCAAAACCTTGTTAGCATAACTATCTATAAATACGAATAATCGAATTCCCAATATTAAAATGTGTTCTTTATGAGATTACACCAATCCTGATTGATCCTCAACATTTACACAACGTCTGTGACAAAAGATTCGGCTGAATTATTTAACGTTGGGCATAAATGAAAAGGTGGTTTCAGATAATTAATTTGTTAATGATTGGGATTGTAATATAAACAAAACGGTGATGATGTGCCACCATCATAAAGCAATGTTTTTCACGTTGAAACCACAGTAAATTCACAATAAATGAGGCGAGAAAAAAATCTCGAGAATTTTAAAAAAAAAATCAAGTATAATGTCAATTTTAGTAACTCGATTGTCTCAATCGTATAATTTTTTGGCAAAAAAAGATAAAAGAACTCTAACGAAAAAAAGGTAGTGGATGTCTATATATTATAACTATTAATATGGTATCACAAGAGGTCTGAATTTGTCTCTCTTTCGACTATCTTAATCTGGAAGGATAAACGAAATCGGTGGCTTGACCGATTTTCGACCATAGAACTTTCTATCGTCATAATATGATCACACAAACTTCTATTGTTAGCCTTTTATGTAACGATCAAAATATGAAAACTAAAAAAAAGTATGTGTTTCATTATTGGTACATCCCTGCGAAGCAATGCAACAACCATTTTTCCACATTATGATCATGTAACCGTCAATATTAATACCTTCCAAACAAAGTTTAGATATTGCAAGCACGATTTCAAATTTATTAAAGTTTTTAAAAAAAAAGTTTCATTCAGTATTTGGTCAAATAAAATTACTAATTCCAGCAGATCTAACGTTATAAAATCTTTCACATCACATATCATATAATAATAATAATCTTATCATCATGTCTTAAAACAACATTTCTATCTATGTCTTACATGAAATTTGCATCAGCCTTGTAATTCATGCATTCAATCGTTCATCCATTGATTAAAACTTGTTGAAATTTGGCGTTTTGAATCACTTCACTTTTTAAAAATTCACAAAGTATAAATAGACACACATTTCGTAAATAAAAAAAAAAAAAAAAATGGAAAAAAAATATATATATATATATCTCCTATAAATATAAATCATAAATATCCATACCATATAATTTTGTTTTTTTAGTAAACCACCTTCGAAAAGTAATTTTTTTTTTTCCTTATTTCGTCTTTTCATGACAACTTAAAAAAATAAATAAATAAATAAATAATCAATTATTTTTTAAAATTTTATTATGACTCGTAATAAAGTTTTACGGTGGTTCGGAAAGGTATTTATTTTATTTTATTTTATATTTTATCTTTTTTTTTTTAAATTTAATTTACCTATTTTTTTTTTTCAACGAAAATTTTTTAAGAACGAAGAGGAATATGAATACTCTCAACAAGGTTCGGATGGTCGTCCATTAAAAATTCAATGGCAGAAACCGCATGAAACAAATGAAATAGATACGTGGAGGAATACGCTGGGACGAAATTTTGAATCGGCATTAAAATATCGTGATAATAAAAAGTATCGTAGTTTACCCCCACCAACCAAGAAACCTGTGGACCCAAGGAGATTTGGAATGGTTGATCCTTTCAAGTATGCTAGTTATATAGATGATGAAGGTTGGAATCCTATAGTTTACTTTGCTCAAGAGTTACAAAAAGAAGAAGAAATAAAGAGGCAAAAGAGCGGTCATAGTAACTCAACGAATGAAGCTGAGGAATTGGTTAACATGATTGTTAAAGGAAATCTTTCACGATCCGGTCGAGAAAGTAAACGACGTGATAGTGGGGTATCCCATGTTGATAGTAACAGGAAAGGCTCGATTTCTTCGACTTCAACGGTTACAAGCACTAAACCTCCCATTCCTAAAAAATCGTCAAATAGGATTCAAGATAAGAGAGATTCCAAGAATTGTCCGACATGTAAAGGAATGGTTGCCGAAGGGGGTTATTACACTCAATGGTGTCAACCTTGTGAGAATCGAAAATTCGAAGATTTATTTGAACATTGGTCAAGTGGGAATGATGTCATAGATTGTTTCATTTTAGAAAGTCAGTTAAACGCCAAAAGTCGGTTTGATTATTTAGAATGGATCCCTTTTGATCGGTTTAAAGACGTTCAATTAATAGGCTTGGGTGGTTTTGGCAGCGTTTATCATGCAATTTGGTTGGACGGTCCAAGGGAAAAATTGGATAAAAAGACTGGGCAGTACGTACGTTGTGGTGAATGGAGGATTGCTTTAAAGTGTTTTGATAACTCGGAACACATCACACCGGATTTCTTTGAAGAGGTAAAAAAAAAGATCAATGATTAAAAAACTTATTTTTTATTATAAATTTTTTTTAAACTTTATTTTTTTTTCTTTCAGCTGGGGGCTCATCTTCGTTACGAGAATAATAGCGGGAATTATGTTATTAGATGTTACGGAATAACACAATGTCCAAAAACAAAAAATTTCATGGTTGTCGTGCAATACGCTCGTAACGGTGATTTGAGAAAATACCTGAAAAAGAATTCGACGGGAATAACGTGGAAACGTAAATTAGACATTTTGTACGGGATAGCGACAGGGCTTAATCGTATACATTGTAAAAATCTCGTACATCGAAATTTACATTGTGGGAACATCTTGATACATTCATCCATGACATTAATAAGTGACTTGGGCCTATGTCGTAGGGCTGATAATCTCCATGCTACGGGCGGAGCTTTTGGTGTTTTACCTTATGTCGCTCCAGAGATATTGAGAGCGAAACCATATACCAAAGCCGCCGACGTGTATAGTTTCGGTACCATCATGTGGGAATTGGCATTCGGACGTAAACCATTTGGTGATCGAGCTCATGATTTGGAACTAGCAACAGATATTGTTAATGGCGTACACCCTGAAATCATTGAAGAAATACCTGAATGCTATTTAGATCTAATGAAAAGGTGTTGGGATTTGGATCCTTTTACAAGGCCTTCCGCCGAAAAATTATATGTTACCTTGGGAGGATGGTTATGTAATGTTTTCAATGTACCTAATTCCGATATTTCCAAGCAATTTTCAGAAGCCGAACGACGTAGGTTAGCATCTATTAACGAGGGAATCGGAACATCAAATACACCTGATCAACTTGAATCACCAATCCACACCCCTATTCAATCACCAATTTCATCCGGGTTTAATATTGATAAAAATGAACATTTTGAAGAGTCATATACAAGTCGTTTCTTAAGATTTGAAAGCTTGCAAGAACCAACAATAATATTTACCAGGACGAATGATCCAAGAGAACATTTGGCGGTACAAAAATACATGGCCGAAGAAACCAGATCTTATAATATTAAATATGAAATGATGCAAATTGAGAGTTCCGAAATAGTCTCCGAAGTTTATGAGATTTTGCAGTACTGGTGATATGGTGATATATTCGAGTGGTTTCTTAATTAAATATTTATTTATCCGTTAATTTTATTATTTTCTATTTTGTAAATTTTATTTAATTCATGTTGTATATTAAACTTCATTTATACATTATTTAATTTTTTTACATACCATATTCATTTTATTGATAATAACATCTATTATATAATCTTTATTTTTTCTTTTTTAAAAAAAATTTCGATAATGTTCGCGCATTATTGTCACGTGTACAGATTATTTTACACATAAAATAAAGCTTTCCTATATTTTGAGGAGGAGGAACAAATAATATATATATATATATAATTGAATTCTATTTTTATTCATATTGATTTTGAACCTTCAAGGTTGTCTTGTGCGTTCACTTGAATAATCAAAGATCTCCAGAATGTAGAAAATATAAATGAAATGGTTTTTTTTTCCCAGAAATGATTCTCTTTTTAGCAATGCTTTTTTTTTTTCGGTTGATGCCACCAGTAATAGTAATGGATTTGACATATAAGTCTATTAATTAATTGTACAGCTTTCTTAATACGATAAGTGAACAATTTTTACTTTTAATGTTAAATAGTTAAGGGTTACTTTATAATAAATATATCGGAAAAAATACTATGCCTGACGAATTTCTCGCCAACGTTATACTTGTGATAAAGAAAAAAAAAAAAGTTTTATTGTAATCGTTTAATATTGAACTATTGAGAAGCAAATCAAATTAGAAGAGTTCTTTACTAAAAAATTTTGCCCCAAAAATTGTTATCTCGAACGACAACTTGGCTGATTCAAAGTGGCATTTGTATAAAAAAAAAAAAAAAAAAAAAAAAAATATGGGATCTTTGACAATAGAAAAGGGGGGAAACGGCTGGAAAAAATAAAAATAAATTAATGCTAAATCTAAACATATTTTGACCTAAAAATCATATTTGGCATATAAAAGTCAAATTGAATTTTTCGGCAGTTTCCCCCCTTTCTATTGTCAAAGGTCCCATATGATCTCATCGATGCGATGATAAATCCAATGAAAATATACTTAAAATTGTAAATCTTTTAAGCATCATTGTTGTTCTTGGTCCAAGCCGGGATAACTCATGACGGATGAAATTTGAATCTTTGACTAAAATAAAATTGGTTAACGGAGCTTTGATTTATGTAAAACCTTTTATAGAAAAAAAATTTGTAAATAAAGATGATTTTTTTTTCCATGAGAACCATTAGGAGCATCGTAAATACAGTATATATATTATATAGGTATATATATTTTTAACAAAGAGAATGATTATGTCAAAAATCATCACACATAAGTATGTATTATTTCTCTTTATTTTTATATTCACTGAATTTGGAATATAAAATAAATGTACATTTGGATAATTCGAACCCTTTTTGAACAAAGATTATGTCAGCTTGTTAATCTCGATATCAGCAGATATGAAAATATCTCTTGAATAATATTGCGCCTTTCTTAAAAAGATTAGAAATGAAAATGTTCCAAGGTTATACAAATGCTTTTGTATTTAATTTATGGTTATGAAGATTTTATGAAGCCATACCGATTGAATCTATTTCAATTTAAAAGAAAAATGTTATTGAATATCTATTAAATCAATTCAGGGGGTATTTGCGTTGAAAATGAATTCTCCGTCCCCGAAGAATGATCGTGATTGTCCAATTTTATATTTTCTCACGAGCATGTGAGCAAGGAAGATATTCCGTTCTCATGACGATGGATGGCTATATCGGTTATCGGGAGTAAACTTTTTGATTTCGATTTAGTAAACTTTGTTTTTCCTTTAAAATCGTCTCATTCATTGATTTATTTGATCAAAGGATATCATTAATTTATAATTTTTCTCGCGTGACTCAATGTACATGTATGTGCGTGGGAAGAAAATTATGAAAAATTTACTTACCAAAATTTATGGTACGTTGTTAAAGTCCTTGTGACTAACCTTAGAACAATAGCTTTGAACTTACTTTTTTTCCCTTGTGACGGATCACCGTTACGCGTTATTGAACTTTTAAATTAACTATTCTTAATATATATTACTCTACAATACCATTCTTGAATATATCAGGAAAATTATATAATTTTTTTTTTTTTAAAAAAAAAAATTGCTGCAGCGGAAGGTTTTTCCGAACTCCGTAATTGAAATTTTTTCAACTTTGCGGTTCAATTTTAATAATGGTTAATCGTACGTTTTATAAGTCAATCATTTAACTAAAGTCAATCTTTTTTTGCAATATAAATGAAATAGCCCAAAAGATTGAGTGAAAAAAAAAATTATAATAAAATACTCTTCTTTCCAATATCATATTTTTTACCTAGAATTATTTTTTTAAAAAAAAAACATGCAGGGACTGATTAAAGAAATGGTTAGGAATGCTTCACGAAATCATCGAATCCATCGTACAAAATTCGATCTTTTCAGAAATAAATCCACGTTGATGGGTGCTTTCGCTCCTTCTCGATCAAGAATGTACGCTCAACCTCATGATTTCAACATCTTACGAGATGATATGGAACATGACACCTCACTTCCCACTTTCATGGTTGGATATAAAAATGGATTTTTACCGAGACAGGTATATAAAAAAACATATATAATTGAAGTAAAAATTTGTAGATGTTATAAAATCTAATCTTGTGATTCTAAGGAACCGCTTGCCAGATTACCGGAACGATTTTATGCCCTTGAATATTTATTACAAAACATGTCAATTCATTTACCAAACGGTGAAGGCGGTTTATTGTCAAAAGGTCAATTAGGTGAAGCTGTAAAAGATTTGCCGCAGTACGACGTTTCTGATATTAATGATCAGAGGTTGCTTTCTGGTGAGTGATGAACCCAAAAATTATTTCTCGCATCAAAATGCGGTATTAATTTTTCAAAACAGCTTTATTTAGAGATTATACTTTCTTGACCTCGGCATACCTCCTTGAACCATGCGATATTATGTATCGAGAAAAGAAAGATTATGGCCTCGGACGTAGCGTTCTACCAAAAAATATTGCGATACCTTTAGCAACGGTCGCAGAGAAACTACACACCTTCCCATTTATGGAATATGCACTCTCTTACAGGTAGATCACGTGATTTTCCTTTTTTGTCGCTTTCTAATGAATATTTTTAATTTAATTTATTTTTTTTTTTTTTGTGAATTGTAGTTTGTATAACTATCAACGAATTGATCCGTCGAAACCGATAATCTATCCAAATTTAAAGCTAGTCCGTGCATTTGCTGGAACACCATCAGAACATGGGTTCATCTTGGTGCACGTTGCTATGGTAGCACATTCAGGAAATTTGGTGAAACATGCGACGGAAACACTTGAAGCAACTCAGGAACAAGTAATATACATATATTTATCTCGTCATTTCATTATTAAAACATTTAAAAATTTTTCATAATGTTCTTGATATAGGATCGCGTTAAATTTAATAATGCGTTAAAGCATTTGAATGATACCATGACTCTAATTAATCAAGAGATGGATACGATGTGGGAACGTTCAAATTCGATGGATTATTTGAAATTTCGGACATTTATCATGGGTTCGAAAAACCAACCAATGTTTCCAAATGGTAAGGGAAAAAAAAAAATAAAATGGAAATTCTTTAATCAGGTTTGATTGGCTGATCACTTTGTTTCTCGGTCGTTAGGTGTGGTTTATGAAGGTGTAAGTGAAAAACCATTATTCTATCGAGGTATTCAAAATTTTTCTTTAGTTTATTTAGTTTATTTAATTTCTCGTGATACAAGCACGCCAACTTTTCACATTATATAATTTATTTACATAGGAGAATCCGGAGCAAATGATTCGATGATTCCGTGTATGGACAATCTCTTGCAAATAACTTCGAAGTTACCAAATAATCCTTTAACTGAAATGTTAAAAGATTTTAGAAGATATCGTCCTACGAATCATAAGGAATTTTTAGAATTTGTACAAAAAAAGGCTGAAGAATTGAACGTTCGTGGGTTTGCTATTCACGTAATTAAACTTCAACTATTCATGATTGATTTTACGAAATCTTGATAATTTTAAATTAATTCCTTTTTTTTTTTTTTTTTTTTTTGGTCAAATAAATTAAATAAATTGTAGGATGCAAATAGCACCGGTAACTTTTTTCTTTATTTATTTTTTTTTTTTTTAATGTTATTTGTTCGCACGAAACTCGAACATTTAAACTCGTTTACAAAATATTTCAGCGTTATATCTGGCAAATATGGATCAAATCCGAGCTTTTCGTCATAGACATTGGAACTTTACGAAAGAATACATAATAAAAAACACTATGCATCCGGTAGCGACAGGGTAAGTTCCGACATAATAGTTCACTTTTGTCAATGCAGTTTTAGCGGTTCTCACACCATTCATGATCGTGTGTTAATAGCGGCTCACCTATCGTAACGTGGTTACCGAATCAACTTGGGACGATATTAGATCAAATGAGTAAAGTGGGTCAGACCATCAACTATAATGAATTAACACCTGAGAATAAAATTATCGTAGATGAGATTATTAATAGGGTTGATTCACAAGAGAGAGTGTTAAAACGTGAAGTTGAATTCTTGAAACAGAAATTTGGTTCTAATCAAGATAGAGTCGTTGTTTAGCACGAACGTCATGGCTTCCAGACATAGTAATAGTATAATCATTTATTAGGTCCGAACACAATATTAAAAAAAAAAAAGAGTTTGAACAATCGTTGAAATAAAAACCATTCTTTAACCATTTTTGTTAACCATTTCTTTTTATTACAATACGTTTCAAGTAGAAAGAAACATGTTTAGACCAATTACATGCGCCAATTCTGTATTCGTTAATAATTTACGCCAGAAATTGATAATCTCTTTTGTGAAAACAAAGAGGGAATGATTCTAATTATGTTGTTACGTGCCTAATGAAGATTTTCAATAAAACCAACTATTGATATGGAAATTATTTGCTTCCAATTGCTTATTTATACAACAACATTTATTTCCATAAAAAGAAATATTAAAAATGTGGGAGGAAGTACTACGATGTATCACGTCAAACCATTAAAAAGAAACAATTTGAAACAACAACTTTTCGTCATTTTGTTTTCTTGAACGATTTTGAAATTCCCACAGTTTTTCAAAACGCCGAAAACAGAGCGGTGCTCGGCACTTGCCAACGCTGCATCGCAATGAATAATGGTTGCACCATGAAGGCGACTAAGTAGGTGGATAATTTTGTCATAGGGTGATTGTACTACGTCATATATCTGAGCTGTTTGTGGGATCGTGCGCTCTTTTTTTTTTTGTAGGCTTTCCGCAGCCACAGCCTTTCATTGGTGTGAACCAATCAGGTGAACTCATCTCGTTGTTGTATAAATATTTATCGATCTGCATTGTATATATATTATCTCGGCGAATTTCTCAGTACACATAAGGTATATATTAACCACAAATAAATAAAAGAAGTGTATATAAATAAATAAAAGAAAAGTGCTAATGTAGATTAAACAATTCATGTAATAAACAAAACGATTTATATCAATCAATAGATATTCACATGAGAATTAGCCCATCCTCTTTTATTCATTCCTTTCGTTTTACAAAACCGAAATCTATTTTTTTTTTTAAAAAATAAAAAAAACCTTCTAATTATGAATTTAGTCATACTTTAAAGTTTTTTTATTTATTTATAAATATCGTCTGTGCACTTTTAACACATACAATTTATATTGGAAAATATAAAAAATATTTTTATACAATAGAGTTCTGATTATTTATTTTTCTTTATGACTGAAAATGGTGTTATACCCTTTGATCGGAAAAGGAAAACCCTTGATTTGGTAACATTGTTGTATCTTGTGTGAACCCGGTTACTTAAAACAAAAAAAGAATGATCATCTCACATATTTGGTCTGTAACCTTCCTAAATATTTTAAAGTTTGAATCTCTTGTTCGGCGAAAACCTTTGTAATTTTTGAGGTATTAATCTTCCCAATACAAAAAATATTTCACATGCAAAAAAAAAAAAAAAAAAAATTCGTTCTTGGGGTGTAGCCCGAGTTTGAAATAGTGAAATGTTATTTTAATTTTTAAAAATTTTTTTCTCTTTTTTTTTTTGTTTTACCCGAGTTGGGGTTCCCCTTTTTTTTTTTTTTTGAATTTTTGAATTTTTCAAGTATGTCAATTTTACAAATATTTGCTTAAAATTATATGTGATTGCATGTCAAATCAATAATAAAGGGTTTACACCGCTTGGTGTCACCTTCCGAATCCGTCAAAAGCAAAATCATAATGGATAATACGTTTTTCATTTTAACCTGTCAAAAAAAAAAAAAATTGAGGAAAAAAAAAAAAAAAAAGATAAGAGAATTAGTTGCTTGTAATGGATTCTTTGATAAAATGAGAAATGCATTGGAAGACGTTGAAGATGTCAAACTTGCTGTCAAATTAATTCTAGCTCATTCGGAAGAGAATTATTGGTATTGTTTTTTGTGGCGTTTTAAGATTAATTCATTCATATGCGTGTCTTTGATGATTTGCATATCAGAGATGTCGAGGAATCAATTCTTTGTAATGAAGACAAAATGTTCTTGATTTAATGTTACAAGGGATGCAGAAGTAACCATTGTTTATAGTTCTCGTGTAAAATCAACGTTCAACTATTTGAGGATATTCAACAATGAAACATTTTTTTTTCATTTCATAATGCTTTCCTTTATTTAATTTTATCTTGATTTTTTTTTTTGGGAAAGATAAGAATCTCTTCACATGTACGTGATTGGAATGAAATTCGTTATCGAGGTATAAACTTTATAAACAAGAATTCCTCTAAAAATGGACCAAGGGGATAAATAAGTGCTAATTCAGATTACTCTTTGGGCAGTCACAACATTTCATGATACATTAGATGTAACTTGATATTAGGGGATAAAAAATTTATTTTAACACAAAGGGTCTTGGTCACGCTTATCCTTGTCAATTCAGATCATTGGCGTATCATACAACATACAAATATAAAATTCTTTTAAGAAATTTATTTATACTTTTAAAGGATCCCTACACCTATTCGTGCGGAGGATTGTCCATTCGCAAGGGAAATTTCGGAATGGATGGGTAGATAATGCTCAAAACGTGAGCTGTGCGTAAAAGTTTGTTAGGTTTCATTGATGTGATTTTGTTTTTCTTTTTCTTTTTGTTTATTTTAAATTTTTTTTTTTTTTTTTTTTTTGTTAGAATTTGTAACGTCATGAATTAATAAAGAAATGACGACAATGTTTTTTGATATAGCGTGGGTGATATAATAATTCTTTGCCTATTAAATTTAATTAAGCTATTTTCGCAGAAACCAAATGTCACAACACATGAAAAACCAAAAGTTGGAAAGCATAATAAACCTGCAATCAATCAAATCGAGTTCCGCGTAAATCCATCATGACCAATCGTCAAGGTGTCATTCTACCCCGCATGCAAAAACTTGACAATTTGGGAAGTTTTGACTCCGCACAATGACGTCTCCAAATCTTTTGTGTGGAGAAACACCTGAAGGACAATGATTCCTATTGTTTATTAGCAGGTAAGAATTGAGGGGTTTTTTTTTAAAAAAAAAAAAAAAAAAAAAATACACCAAATATAATAAGTTTTTGTGATGCGATTGTCTTTACATTTTTTTGACATATTCAAAATATAAACGCTTGGACAACATTAAATTAAAAAAAAATAAAATAAAATGATTCCATAAATATTATGATTTTAATGTAAAACAAAATAAGCATATCCGAAGCTTATTCCATTATTATTTGACAGAAGTTGACAGTTATTTTAGAACATCACCCCAATTTGTTTACAATTCTTGTTTTTGATGTTACAACTTGATGTTGTGTTTGTTTCAAAGTGATAACAACAATAATTAAAATTTTTTTATCAATTATGATCGTTAAAATGAGCACAAATTAATACGATTTCTTGTCAATCGTTCTCAATAGATTTGGCTGATACCGAAATTTTCTCGTGCGACATTTTCGTTTTTGACATTATATAAAGCGAGGTGATTTTTTGACACAAGATTTCTTCAGGATTTCAAAAATAACTCCTCACCCAAATAAAAAAAAAAAACAGGGATTCCCGATTACCATGGGAATTTATTCTCCTATAATGAATCGTATAACTTAACTTTACCACCGTGTGTGGTTTCTGAGTCATTGCGAAAACGCTTTTTTTTTTTTTTTATTTTTCCTTTTTTATTTATATACTATTTCGTCTTTTTGTCTTTATATTTTTTTTTCATTTCCTTGAATTCAGAGAAAAAAATTTGAAAAAAATTAAAGGAAAAAAAAACTGTACAGAGTATACACACACACACACACAAGAATAATTCTTTTTTTTTTTTTCAGTATACAGTTTCGCCTCTTCTATGACTATATTTTACGTTTTTTCTTTTTATTTAATTCGGCACTTTTGTATTCAACGATTCCGAAATTTTATTTTTATTTTTTTTTTTTATCTTTTTTATCTTTTTTTTCAATTCTACGTTTTCGTCTTGACTCAGAAACAGCACACGTACCATCTCCCCCTCCTCCTAAAGCACCGTTCTTTACGAAACTTCGTTTTAAATTACGTTTTTCTTTAACAATTCCCTTCATTCAACATCGTGAATGATTCGAATTGATTAATCCTATTTACGAATTTTTTATATCGTTTTTTTTTCTTTTTTTTTTTCATAAACATCTTTTGAAACATCATATTGTTATGACATGTACCACGTGCGAATAATGTTTTAAGGCGTCAATTCTGTTGGAGTCGGTTTCATTCGAGTCTTTTATTCAAACGACTTTTTTAAAATACTTGAATAAAATCCCGGCGAGGAAGGCCAACATTTTTTTCCCATCGAAACTTCTATTCGAGCGATCACGTGTCACAATTTCCGACTTCCGACTTTACGGTTCCCTGTTTTTAACCTTTCGGTAGGTATTTTTTTGTTTGTGTGACCTTTTTTATTTTTCGGCACGTCATTTGAAAATCACGTATACTAACCTCGAACTTTGCTTATTCTTATAGATCTTTTTTGATGGCTAAAACATGTATCCGTTCATAGATACTTCAAATGCCGAATTTTGGGATCGTTCCTACCCTCAATTCAATACTTTCAATTACATAGACTTACTTATTTTTACTGGGTTCTCCGTCTCCGAGACGAAAATAAAAGGTAAATATTTGATTCATTCTTTTTTTTTTAAAAAAATCTTTTTATTGTTATATAAATCACGAAACAAATTTCTCTAACCCTCATTCACTCTCGTGTGTAGAACCTTACAATGAAAATCAATCTCCCCGAACATTTTCGGTATTAACTTATCGGAAATTTCAGTATCCCAGACCTTCGAAGGGATCAAAAAAAAAAAAAACGCGTGCGGTTTTTCTAAACTTGCACCAAAGAAAATTTACCTTACCCACCAAAAAAAATAGATTTTTTCCTTCTTATTCCATTTTGATGGAATTTGTAAATAGAATTTTTTTCCTTTTTTTTTTCATTTATATTTTATTGGATATTTTTTTTTTTATTTTTTATTTTCTTTATTTTTTATCTCTTTTTTTTTTCTCTCTTATTACATATATTTTATCTATTTTCTATTGTATTTTTATCATTTCCTTTTTTTTCTTTTTTTCCAACTTTTTATATATATAATATAAAAAAATTACAAAACTCTAAAAAAAAAATGTGTTTGACAAATGATTATCAAGTGTGTGACCTTGATTCGTGAGTTAACTGCCCCAAGTTCAGGGGAATCAACTTCAGTTGGATGTCGTGCGACATTTGTTCATAATAGAACAATAATCCTTGCAGCAAATCAAAAAATGATGATATACTGACCTTTAAATAATTCCGATAATCATAAAAGAAAAATAGGATCATGGATGATCGTTCCCAACTATAAATTTCGATTTAGGTTTTTTTTTGTCGCACAGTACATATTAATAGACGTGTCAGAATTTTTTTAAAAATTATCGACAATATGACGATAATCATGGCATTGATGCGATTTTATGACAATCGAAGCAAAGAAGGATATTATTATTTAGGAAAAATTTTATTTTCTTTAAAATTTTGGGATTGATAACCACCACTTTATAACCAAAAGAAGATGGATGACCATCCTCATACATACATGTGGTTCTAAGCCATAAATAACGTCATTTTATCGTAATGACGTTTCACAATTGCCCATTTGTTCAAGATTTGAATGACGTACATTCTTGAACTGAAACAATGCTGGGACATTGGGACAGTTTTGAAACATAGTTCAGGACTTGGGACAGAGAAAATATGGGACTTTGCAATAGAAACTGCCGGAAAAAAAATCAATTTTAGTTTTATATGATTTTTAGGTTCAGATTTAGTATTACTCATTTTTTTATTTTCCAAGCCGTTTTCCCATTGCAAAGGTCTACATATATTCGATTATGCATTTCAGAATTTTAACTCACGTGATTTGACAAAAAAATCGACTAATTCGGATTATGAGATTATTACATGCTAAAATCATTATTTTTTTTTTTGCTAATTATAAATTTTTTGTATAAAAATTAAATTAATTTAAAGTTGGATTTTAATCAATAAAACCTTATAGTTCTAAATTTATTAACTATATAATATTTAAATTTTAAGTTTAAAAATACTATGTAATGATGTTTTACTTTAGATTTTTTTGTATTTATTTTCGTAAAATATTAATTATATATTAATAATAATTTTTAAAATATTATAAAACTTTATTTTTGTTTAAAGTATTAATATACTTTTTAAGAATATTTAACAAGAAAATAATAAAATATAACCTTTTTTTTAAGTACTTCTATAAAGTAATATATTTTTAAAGCTATATTATTTAACTTTTATAATTTATTATATCTTTATTAATTTTTTAATCTGTTGTTAAAAAAAATTAGGTTTGAGAAGTTTTCACTAATAATATTAAAATCTTATCATATTTTAATCTAATAATATTAAAATTAATAATATATAATAAAAAATCTCAATTTTGTTAAAAATTTTTAAAATCTAATTTAATTAAAAATAAATTTTTTGAAATATAAAATTCTATTTATATATATACTAATTATCATATAGATAATTATTTAATATTATGCTTAATACTAACTAAGTAAATAAATTATCAAAAAAAATATTTTTAAAAAATAAATTTTTTAAATAAACACAAAGTATATAAAATATAGATTATATGTATATACAGTCAACACTTAATATAGTAAACTCTTAATATAACAAATGAACAAATATAATAAAAATATTCTTGTCATATTAATTAACTAATCAAATCTCTTAAAATCTTTGCTATAGCCTTATAACAAAGTTGAATCTAGAACGTAAAATTCATTATAATAAGAATTAACTGTATAAACTTATTATATAAAGTTGTATAATATTAAGATTTGTTATACAAATTCAATTATTATTTAATACATTATATTATATTAATTATATTTTATTTTTATTAAAAACTTAAAAAATGTTTTTTTATAATTTTGTATAAAAATAAAATTTTCTTTTAAAAAATATATTTTTGTAAAATAAGTATTATTATAAAAAAAAAAAATAATAATAATTGAATATTTGTTATAATCATATAAAATATCTTAAAGATAAATAAAATTTTTAATTAAAAAAATTAAATTTATAATAATTTAAATTTATTGAATTATATATAATATTGAAATTAAATTTAAAATTTATAATTTTTTTTTTTGATAAATCTAAATTTAAATAATTAATATCTTTTAATCTTAAATGGTAAATCTAAAATTATTATAAATTATTTTAAAAATTTTATAATATTTTGATATCTATTAATTATAAAAAAAAAAAAAATAAAATAAAATTTATTTTAATAATTATTAGTATACTGTATATTAATTTTCAAATTTTAATTTTAAAATAATTTATTATCTAATAAAAAAAAATAAAATTTAGCTTATTGATTTATTTTAATTAATTCTAAATTATAATTAATAAATAGCTTTTTCTTTTTTTTTAATATTACTATAAAAAATTTTAAATTATATCATTAACTAAGAGTTTTAACTCAAGGCTGATAATATTTTTATA